AAAACCTCATACCATTGGATGAAATCTTTGGCATATTCTAAGCACTTACAGCATATTAGCTGTTCTTATCTATCAGCTGCTAAACTTGATTGCAGTTTTCTTTAGCATATTTTTAAATAGTTTATTATGGAAAATTTCAGATACATATATAAATAGGTTGAATAATGTACCATCACCCAGCTTTAGTACTTCTTAGCAGAACACGTAAATCATCTTGTTTTATTTCTGCCTCAACTGAATTATTCTGAAGCAAATACCAGATGAGTCACTTTTATTGCACTGGAGAATAGTGGCTCCTAAACAAGGCTTTTAAGTGATTACTAAAGAGAGAAATAGAGATAGGTATATCCTGGCTTCATTTGAAGACAAAATGAATCAAATTCTCTCCAGTTGTTTATCTGAAAAGTCATTATTTCTTATTTGTACATTTCTTCCCACTCTTCACAGAAAGGCTTCCCAACTGATGCAACTCTTGATGACATAAAAGAATGGTTAGAAGATAAAGGTCAAGTACTAAATATTCAGATGAGAAGAACACTGCATAAAGCATTTAAGGTATGATGATACAGACGTTTTCTAGTTCTAAAATATATGGGACATAACTTAATATTTTCCTTCCGTTTTATAGGGATCAATTTTTATTGTGTTTGATAGCATTGAATCTGCTAAGAAGTTTGTAGAGACCCCTGGCCAGAAGTACAAAGACACAGACCTGCTAATACTTTTCAAGTAAGTCTTTTTGCTGATGTTTCTCCTGGCCTTTTAGTTATATGGAATTGACACATTAGGGTAAGGAGCATGGAAATAGCATCCCCTCTAAGGCTAAAGATTTTTAGTATCTTTAGATGTCCTTTGACAAATGCTTGATATTTTCTCAGTGAGAACTATAGTCTTTTGAGACTAAAAGAAAAGAGTTCATTAGTATCTTTTCACTGTTAGCAATTTTTTTTTTTTTTTTGAGATGGAGTTTCACTCTTACTGCCCAGGCTGGAGTGCAATGGTGCAATCTTGGCTCACTGCAACCTCTGCCTCCTGAGTTCAAGTGATTCTCCTGCCTCAGCCTCCTGAGTAGCTGGGATTACAGGTGGCTGCCCCACACCCAGATAATCTTTGTACTTTTAGTAGAGCTGGGTTTCACCATGTTGGCCTCGAACTCCTGACCTCAGGCGATCTACCTACCTTTGCCTCTCAAAGTGTTGGGATTACAGGTTTGAGCCACTGTACCCAGCCACTGTTAGCCATTATAAAGGAGGTTATATTTTAGTACTGATTTTGCATCTAAAACTTTTAGTCAGTCTGGGTATTAAAATTTGGGCTTTTGTGTGTTTGGAAAATATATCAGTGCAGTTTTCTTCTTAATTTTTCATAGCCTATATATATATATATTTCAACAGTAGAAAGGATTATTGGAGATTTGGATCACATTCTTTGTGTGTATGTGTGTGTGTTTGTCTAAGTGTCTGAAAATGGGGATGAACCAGAGCATTTTCATGATAAAATTAGTTGTAGGACCATAGTTGCTTACTTTAGAAGCCTGTGTATAGTCTTTTAAATGGTATATACAAAACCTGATTGACTTCAGAGATGCACTGTGATGGATCCTAGTATCGGTGTTAAATCCTCAAACATTATTTAACATTGTTTTCATCATTGCTGTTATTCTTGGGTCTTAGGGATTTTAGAATTTTCTCCTTTTGTGAAATTAACACTGAAATATTATTTGCATGACTTCTGATGCACTTTCCCCCCCCCATACATGAATGATAAATCAACATGACATTGCTAATGGGCAGGGGGTTTCTTTTTGGGGTCATGAAAATGTTCCGAAATTAGTAGTGATGGTTGTACAACTCTGAATATACTAAAAGACATTCGAGGTACACTTTAAGAGAGTGAATTTTGTGGCACATGGATTTCTTTTCCTTAGTAAGGCTGTTATTTAAAAAAATACCAGTAACTTCCTTGGCGTATTTTGAATTTTTAGTTGGTGATTATGTTGATAGTAAATGTGTACAACATTCATTGCTGTGCCATGTCTTAAGTTACTCAAAATATTCTGCAGTCTTAACTTTGTTCTCATGAACTTTAGCCTTTGTACTGTGTGTTCTTTAGGGATGATTACTTTGCCAAAAAAAATGAAGAAAGAAAACAAAATAAAGTGGAAGCAAAATTAAGGGCTAAACAGTAAGTACATTGAACTAATAGTGACATAATTTGAATTCCTTAAAGCTTTGACAAAAGTATAGTTGGTGAGCTCTGAAATAATGGCAATAGGCCTTTCTCTTTGCTAGTGAAACATTGAGATCTTAAACTGCCTTGACAATCTGGGGGTGAAATTGCATTTCCATCTAGCATTGCATGATCAAAAAACTTAAGGACTTCTGGCTTTGGTTAAATAGTTTAGTGATCATGAGTGGTTAACTTTATTAGGACTTTGTTTTCTTAAATAGTAAGTGGAAATATGTTAAAATTACCGTATTTTTATTTGTAGAGAGCAAGAAGCAAAACAAAAGTTAGAAGAAGATGCTGAAATGGTAAGTACATATATTACTGGTAGCTAGTACATCTGTAATTCAAAGTTAAATGAATAGGTTTTAAATCTGAGGACTTTAAAAAAAAAATGGTAAGCAAAGCTATCTATAGTTGTCATCGCACTAAGTAATATATCAGGTACTATATTGAAGGAAAAGAGAACACTAACGATAAGAAATGTGTTTTAAAATAAGGAAAAGGCTGGGCACAGTGGCTAACGCCTGTAATCCCAGCACTTTGGAAGGCCAAGGTGGGCAGATCATTTGAGGTGAGGGGTTTGAGACCAGCCTGGCCAATATGGTGATACCCCGTCTCTACTAAAAACACAAAAATTAGCCAGGCGTGGTGGTGCATGCCTGTATTCCCAGCTACTCAGCAGGCTGAGTGAGTCACAAAGAGTTGCTTGAACCTGGGAGGCAGAGGTTGCAGTGAGCCAAGATCACACTATTGCACTACAGCCTGGGTGACAGAGTGAGACCCTGTCTAAAAATAAAAAATAAAATACAGGAAATTGTATTTTGAAATATTCAGGAAAAAGTTCATTTATGCCTAGAACTTATTTTTATGAGAAAATGTTGTATAACTTCTAGAGATTCTAATCATAGTTTAATACTAATGTGACTTTTAATTTTGACTTTATAAGATGCTGTTGTGTATTTCCATTTAGAAAATTAAAAATAAAAATTTTTATTTGGGGAAAATAATGACTATAAAAAAATTTTAGAAGTATGATAATACTCCCTAGAATTATTTTCCAAGGTAGTTTAATAATCAGACTTATGTAGTTTATAACTAATTAAATACCAGTTGTATAAGAGATCAAATAAGTTAAAATTGAAAGCCATTGTACAATAAACGATGACAAAGGAAAACACCCAACTTTGTGAAACTACTTTAAAATAGCATTTTGGTTTCTAGTCTTTTTCTTATATAGGTATAATGTGGTGTGAGTCATATCTGGTCTGTTGTTGCTTTTAAGAAACTTTTTGATCGCTTTGTATATTTTTACAGAAATCTCTAGAAGAAAAGATTGGATGCTTGTTGAAATTTTCAGGTGATTTAGATGATCAGACCTGTAGAGAAGATTTACACATCCTTTTCTCAAATCATGGTGAAATAAAATGGGTAGACTTCGTCAGAGGCGCAAAAGAGGTTTGGAAACATTCCTATGCTTTCTAGCAATCAGTTTGAAAATCTGTAGAAACTTATCTTATACAAGACAAAATTAATAGAAAGTAATTTTAAAATTGTGTTTATTAGTTTCTACTTGATCATTTGTTGTTAACTGTCACTAGATGTGAAGTCTGATACTTTCTGGATTATACTAGTTTTTACTTGATCATTTACTTTGTTGTTATTGTTACTATATGTGATATCTGATAGTTTCTGAATCATATGAATGACTGTTCATATTGGTGATTGCAGTTTTACTTCTGTAGCATAACTTTTCTAATGTTCAGTAAAATTTAAACTGGTAAAGGCATGGCAGGTTTGCAGGATAGAAAAAATTACTTTGAACAAAGAAATTGTGGGACTAAAAACTAAGGGTGTGGCTTTCATTTTCTATCTCTGATATAGGGGATAATTCTATTTAAAGAAAAAGCCAAGGAAGCCTTGAGTAAAGCCAAAGATGCAAATAATGGTAACCTACAATTAAGGAACAAAGAAGTGACTTGGGAAATACTAGAAGGAGAGGTGGAAAAAGAAGCACTGAAAAAAATAATAGAAGACCAACAAGAATCCCTAAACAAATGGAAGTCAAAAGGTCATTTATTCTGATTTTTCTTTAATAGTCTGGTTGTTTAACCCATTTACTTGAGGAAAAACTTTAATCAGTGTTCAAAAACACTGACAAGAGACTTTAAAAAAAAAAATTTACGAAGTGCTCAATTGTGTCTGTACAGGTCGCAGATTTAAAGGAAAAGGAAAGGGTAATAAAGCTGCCCAGCCTGGGTCTGGTAAAGGAAAAGTACAGTTTCAGGGCAAGAAAACGAAATTTGCTAGTGATGATGAACATGATGAAAATGGTACAACTGGTAAGTTTTTTCTAAGTTCTTTGGTAGTTTCATGAGAAAATGTGTACTACTTCCATAAATAAATGATTTGTCAGACAGAATAGGGATTTGGCTTTTCAACTCCTGGATAAGTGCCATTCGTGGATTATTATTATTTACCTCAGTCATGCTGTTGTATAAGTCAGGGACAGGATATTTGGAAGATGAATCTGGAGGTCAGATGGTCTGTACTGAGAAAAACCTTTTCTCATTGGTGCAAGGAAGTTGTTATGCCTTTTTCAACAGTATCATTATTAGTGATTGTGCTCAGTATTAAAATAGAGCAGTACTTATGTTGAATTTAACAAAAATTGTTATTTTATAGGACCTATGAAAAGAGCAAGAGAAGAAACAGACAAAGAAGAACCTGCATCCAAACAACAGAAAACAGAAAATGGTGCTGGAGACCAGTAGTTTAGTAAACCAATTTTTTATTCATTTTAAATAGGTTTTAAACTGCTTTTGTTTGTGGGGGCTTTTAAAAGGAAAACCGAATTAGGTCCACTTCAATATCCACCTGTGAGAAAGAAAAAGTTTTTTTGTTGTTTAACTTGTCTTTTTTTCTTAACCAAATGAGAATTTTTTTGAATGTATAGTTCTGTTTGTGTTATTTCAGATGAATTAAATATCAGAAGAAAGGTTCTTCCACTAAATTGCCTTTGTAATATGAGAATGTATTAGTACAAACTAATAAAATATATACTGTATAAAAAGAGTAAAAACATAGTTTTTTGTTTTGTTTTCTTTTTGTACCCAGAGCATTTAAAACAGAACTAGAATACTAGCTATTGACTATGGGCCCTTCCCACAGGCTATTTATTGTGTCTCCTAGGCTGGCTTTCTGTATTTACACAGGAAAATTGAAAACACTAGAAATAATTACTTGTTACAAAGCTTTTCTTTTTTTTCCTTTTGAGATTGAGTCTTGCTGTGTCTACCAGGCTGGAGTGCAGTGGCACAATCTCAGCTTACTGCAACCTCCACCTCTTGGGTTCAAGTGATTCTCCTGCCTCAGCCTCCCAAGTAGCTGGGATTACAGGTTTGAGCCCACAAAGCTTTTCAATACCGAATGTAAACCAGCCAAAATCAAGAGACTTACTGATTTCTTTTTGTGAAACTTGTATGATGCCGGCAGGTCATATCGAAGCTCTGTAAAACAAAAGCCACCTAAAGATAAAATTATATTTTCAAACATTTACCACCCTTGACTAAACAACAAATTAAGAAAAACATTAAGTACTGGTAAACTGAACATTTTAGCACTTTTAACATATCCAAGTAGTGACTTGTTATATTCCCAGCATTGGCCATGGAAGCTTGACATTTCTGCCATTATGGCTGTTTATACTGTAATTTGAGGTTATAAATGAAGAGTTTAGAAGGATAAAAGGTGGACAAAAAGTATATCCTATGAAAATATTGGTACCTTTCTATTTTTAATTTCCTAATAGTCTGTATAATTAACTTCATCTCATAATAACCGTGCTTATTTCAAAAGTTTAGAGTTTAATAATGGTAATAAATAGCTAATTATTTTCCTCCTAAGCTCTAAAATGAAAACCAATTTTTCATATTTCTTCCTTCTAAAGAATAATGTAGGCTGTGTGTAGTGGCTCATGCCTGTAATCCCAGCACTTTGAGAGGCCAAGGTGGGTGGATCACGAGGTCAGGAGTTCCAAGACCAACCTGGCCTAGATGGTGAAACCCCATCTCTACTAAAAATACAAAAAAATTAGCCAAGCATGGTGGCGGGTGCCTGTAATTCAGCTGCTCAGAAGGCTGAGGCAGAGAAATGCTTGAAACCGGGAGGAAGAGCTTGCAGTGAGCCAAGACTGCACCACTGCACTCCAGCCTGGGTGACAGAGCAAGACTCTGTCTCAAAAAGAAAATAGATTCTCCAAACTCTTTACTATCAATCTATTTTAGAGGGATGACAATGAATCTACCCCTGTCTGTCACAGCTTTCAAGTTTTAATGTGCAATCAAATCACCTGGGGATCTTGTTGAAATGCAGATTCTAATATAGTAGGTCTGGGTGGAGCCAGAAATTCATTTCTAACAAGGAAATCCCAGGGATTTTAATGCTGATGGTGTGAGGACCACATTTAATTTAGATTATAATTAGCTTCTAGTTACATGATTTTCCTATTTTGATGTTTGTGACTATTACCCAATTTAGTAATAGGAGGAGCAAGGCTCTGGCATGGTCTATTGGGACTGTTCTAAGTTGTTCCATACTGCATATACTACCAAAAACTGGCCGGGTGCAGTGGCTCATGCCTGAAATCCAGCACTTTGGGAGGCCAAGGCAGGAGGGTAACCTGAGGTCGAGTTCAAGACCAGCCTGGCCAACGTCGTGAAACTTCATCTCTACTAAAAGAAGTTAGCTGGGCATGGTGGCATGCGCCTGTATTCCCAGCTACTCAGGAGGTTGAGGCAGGAGAATTGCTTGAACCCAGGAGGCAGGGGTTGCAGTGAGCCAAGATCACGCCACTGCGCTCCAGCCTGGGCGACAGAGGGATACTCTGTCTCAAAAACAAAAACAAAAAACCTAAAACTCTGTAAGTAATGCAACACTGAAAATAACAGGAAGATGAACAAATTACTATGAACAGTATTAAATTAGTTGTACATTTAACACTACAGTGTCAATTCATTGTTAGTTTATTGTGAAAAATCATGTTCCCTTATTGTACTCTTATTTCAGGCTTAGATTATAATTAGCTTCTAGTTATATCCTTTCCTGTTTTGATGTTTGTGACTATTACCCAATTTAGTAATAAAAATGTATCAAATGTAATTTACTCATAGTGTTGATGTTTAGTAGAAAAAGATAAATGTTATTTGATACCAGGGCAATTAGAAAATGGAATTAGAGGCCGGGTGTGGTGGCTCACACCTGTAATCCCATCACTTTGGGAGGCCAACAGTGGAGGACCACCTGAGGTCAGGAGTTCGAGACCAGCCCTGCCAACATCGTAAACCCTGTCTCTACTGAAAATACAAAATTTGTGCTGGACATGGTGCGTACCTGTAGTCCCAGCTACTCGGGAGATTGAGGCAGGAGCATTGCTTGAACCCGGGAGGCAGAGGTTGCAGTGAGCTGAGATTATGCCACTGCACACTAGCCAGGGCAACAGAGCAAGACTGTCTCAAAAAAAAAAAAAAAAAAAAATTAGAAAAGTATCCAGGTGGCATTTTCCATGAATTAATTTCAAACCAAGATCTGACCAACTCCAAGCTCATGTTTTTAATCACTGTGCTGCTATAGTGTTCTGCCTGAGTCTGGAGTGACCAAATACCTGAATGCTATTATAAATTTTCAGTAAATTGCATAAATTAAGATAGTCTCAGGCTAAGTGATCACTCTGCTTTTACTCCATTTGCAATCTATTACCAATCATGCACATTTTGCCACACTGTGAAGTATACTTTATAGTATATTTCCTCAGCACCTGCATGAAAGTTTTGGTTGAGTGAAAGCATGTTGGCCCTTTTGGATACTAGCATTGAGATTTGTCTTACCTGCAATAATATCTATCTTGATTTTCCATTCTGCAGCTTTCTTTTGAATATGCTAAACATAAATAATAAAGTAATTATGAACTGATTTTTAAATGATTTTTTTTTAAATTGCTTTTTGCTAATACTTGAGATTGGGTTTTTAAGCTTAAAATTTCATTAGAATCTAGATCCTTATAAACATTTCAATTGAATGGATTGTATTCTGAAAATAAGAAATCAAGCCATTTCAGTATATTTAACAATCAGAACCAAATCACACAATAAATCCAATTGATAGAAAGCTATGCACCATATAATGCCATCTGGGGTTATCTAGGGACTGCATATATTTTGGTAGTCCCATAAAATTATAAAGGGATCTGAAAAATTCCTGTCTAGTGATGTAGCTATCTTGACATCATAGTACAACACACATCTTTTTGGTGTTTATATATCTTTAGATTAAAAAATACGATGGTGTTACAATTGCTTGTAGTATTCAACACAGCAACATGTTGACAGGTTTGTAGCCTAGGAACAATAGATTAGAACCATAGAGACTCAGTGGTCTGCTCTGTTTGTACAATGATGAAATCACCTCATGATGCATTTCTCAATGTATTAGTCAGAACATATCCCTGTTGTTAAGGGATGCATGACTATTTCAGAAATCAAGAGATGTGTAATGTTCTCATGGTTTCTATAGCAATAATTTCTTTAATATATACAGCTAGTTATCCTAGAAACCATTTAGCAGAGATCTATGTACATGGGCAATTCAGTTCATGCAATTTTACTGCATGAACTGAATATGAGTTGTATAAAATTCATGTTATGCCAAGCTGTGCAGAAAAGAGTTCACAGCAGGCCTGACTGCTTATCTTTAGAAAGGCCTGCTTATAAGTTTGGCCCTTGACTGGAGATTGGGAACTTAGATTTTGGGAGGGTTCCCACTGCCTACTTCCTTAATAATAGGTCTCACTGTGCCTAACCCTGTTGTTGCTGAACACCTGTTTTCCTACTGGGCGTCTAGAGTTTGGGTATGTGTCAGAAAGGGAACTGCTATTCAATCAGTCCCCAATAAAAGTCCTGGGCGCTGAGTCTCTGATGAGTTTCCCTGGTTGGCAGTATTGCATATGTGTTGTCAATAATTCATGCTGGGGAAATTAAGTGTGTTCTGTGTTATTCCACTGGGTGAAGACTTGGGAAGCTTGCCCCTGTTTTCTCCTATTCTCTGCCCAATGTACCTTTCTTTTTGCTGATTTTGCTCTATATCCTTTCACTGTGATACATCATGGTCATGAATAAGACTATATGCTGAGTCCTATGAGATTTCCTAGTGAATCATCAAACCTGAGGGTGTTCTTGGGAACACACGTTTGGATACCAATATTTACTGGTGTTTGCTTTCATATATAGTGAGTGAGGATTTATTCACTAGCTATGTTGTGTCCTGTTGCTTGCCTACTTAACCACTGCTCATTGTTAGCAGTATGTTTTTTTTAGCTGTTTTATTTTATGCTTTTTAAAGGGTTATCAGATTACCATGTAACTAGAATGTATTTTTTTCCGACTGGGTTTTTTGTATTTATATTAATTAAGTATTTTTTTTCCTACAAAATCACTAAAATCTTTGAATACATTTATGATTTAAATAATAACTAACATGCAATTACACATGTCAGACACTGATCTAAGTGCTTTGTAAATATTAACTCATGTAATCCTCACAATTCTTATGAACTATTGGGCACTCTTAGTCCCTTACACTTAGAGTACAGGTGAGAAGAGTATAAATGACAAAACTGAAGCTCAATTACCTTGACCAAGGTAACAGCTAGGAAGCAGTAAAGCTTGGATCTGAACCCAGGGAGTCTGGTCTGGCTTCAGAATCTCTGTTCCTAACCACCATGTTATTCCCACATTAAAAAAATGTACTGCCCCTCCTCTCAGTTTCCTGGAATACAACTTATACACCCCTCCATGTGTTATATGCTGCAAAAATAAGAATAGATGATTTCTGAACTCAGATCTGTTTAGCTCCAGGCTCAGTGTTCTGAAAACCTGGCCTTACTGCCTCCCTTAAGTACATCAGGCCACACAAGGACAATGGGACAAAAAGCATCAACTAAGACTTACAGAGAAACCAAAACATACTGTAATCCTAGTTATAACACACTTCCCTACTCCTGAGTTATACTGTCTCGTGACAACAGTTCCTGTCTGAAAGAACCTTTGAGAAAAAGCAGTCTTATAGCCTGGAAAAAGACCAATCGTGGATGCTAGCTGGTTAAATGGAAAATTTAGTTCCTAAGTTTCAGATGTCAAAAAGGTCAGGAGAAATAGATACTATGGTATCTAGTATTCACAGCAAATCCTAAAAACACTGTCATGAATTTAAAAATAAATGCCACTGAATATCAGATGATTTGAACTTACTTCTCTAGTTGAGGATTTGTGTAAAGAATATACTGCTGTTCTTGCCATTTCCAGAGCAGTCTTTAGAAAAGTCATATCTGTCCCTGTGAAGAGTAGGAAAAAAGCTCCTCTTTACCTCTTATCAAAATAGAAGATTAAGTTAGCAGGATTTAGCAACATTTTCTTCCAAACTTCAAAATAGCCACCTTGAAATCTTTTAGCAATAAGTATACAAATAAACTATCAAAATATTTTAAGATTGGTAGAATAAAACCAGAATTATACTGTCTTGGTTAAATAAGGCTAAAGTAAAAATTATAATATTCCAACATTAATGACTTTAAAAAAGGGGAGAGGAAACATGTATAGTAGTATTCAGAATCATCTTGGTGGGGGCCAGGTACTTTTTGAACTATGCATATCTTTTCCTACCCTTGCTGACTTCCTAAGCTCCTTGCCCATGGTACACACAAAATTAGCAGCCACAGTGAGTCACTGTTACTGATGGGGACATGCAGAAATCCTTGGGTCTGTTAAGACATTAAAAAATAGGTTCTAAAAGTATAAAATTCTTCGTATGTTTCATATTCATTCAAAAGTGTTACGCAAATTATTCTTGAAAACGAATGGGAGACATACATTAAATGAAATGACTCGGTTTACTTAATAGAAATTTGTAAAAACAAAAGTTGAAAAACTCAATTTCTTAGCTATGCATTAAACAAATTGAAATTTAAATTATAAGAACTATACAGGTAAGAGATTTGTTTACTTAATGAAGAGTAGTAAAATGACTTACCCTTAGTTTAATGAAGAGTGATAAAATCACCTAGCCCAAACAATCAGTGATAAAAATGGTTTTTATTTTTTCTAGACACGGTTTTGCTGTTACCAAGGCTGGAGTGCAGTGGCACATTCATAGCTCATGGCAGCCTTGAATATGTGAGCTCCAGGGATCCTTCCACCTCAGCCTCCTGAACAGCTAGGACTATAGGCTCACCATCACACTTAGCTAATTAAAAAAAATTCTTGTTGTTGTTGAGGCAGGGTCTAACTGTGTTGCCCAGGCTGGCTTTCAACTCCTGGCCTCAAAGGATCCTCCTGTATCAGCCTCCCAAAGCACTGGGATTACACACCTTAGCCACTGTGCCTGGCCTTAAAAATAGTTTTAAAAATGTGTCTATAAATATAGCAGTATACCTGATTCTTCTTACAAAGCTTTATTATTTTTGGTTCCAAAGGGAGGATTCATAATTACTGTATCAAATGACTTGGACATTCTGTTAGATAATAAGCACACATCACATTGAATCATGTCAATATTTGTTAACTCAAACTCTTCCACATTCCTGTTAAATATTTCCAATGCGTCTTCATCTATGTCAAATCCAACACACAACCTATAAATACAAAACACATAAGACTTATAGCTCCCAAGTAAAAACAAAAACAAAATTAGCTTTTTTTTAAAAAAAACCCATATATCTTTTTAATCCAATTAGCAAAATAAGAATTTTTTTTTTTTTTTTCCAGATAGGATCTTGCTGTGTCACCCAGATGAGTGTAGGGGTGCCATCCTGATGCACTGCAGCCGCAACCTCTTGGGCTCAAGCAGTCCTCCCACCTCAGCCTCCCAAGTAGCTAGGACCACAGGTACATGACACCACACCCAGCTAATTTTTGTATTTTTGGTAGACATGGGGTTTCACCATGTTGCGCAGGCTGGTCTCAAGCTCCTGGGCTCAAGTAATCTGCCCACCTTGGTCTCCCAAAGTGCTGGGATTACAGGCATGAGCCACTGTGCCCGGTCAAGTGCTGCTTTCAATAACATAATTTCCCAACCTGAAAGAGGTTGGAAACTCAGGTTTGTATAAAAGAAACTACTGCTTTTACCATTTTAATTTATTTTTTGTAGTTTGTTTAGATCTTCTGCCCATTCAAAATCTATTCAGTATCAGATTTTTGCTCCCTATATCTCATTCTGTGGAGCCTCATAAATATAATTCAGTTAATCACATTGCTGCTCCTTATTAAAACCACCCAATACCCAAATAGTATATATTGCATTACGTACCCTGCTCCTAACATTGCACTTCCGATGCTAAGTACTCCACAGCCACATCCTAGATCGGCAATGACTTTATTTTCAATGTCATCATAAGTGTTATGGATTGTATACAGCATACATGCTAAAAAAATAAAAATTAGAGAATAAGCAAGCTGATGACTAAAACCAAATTGTGCAAATGACTCTTTCTAAAATAATTTCTTGTCTTGCATTACTTAGTCCTTTCCCAAATGGCATTCCAGATTATTTTTTTAAAAAGATAAGGTGTAATAATTTGGTATGTAGTAAAGAGGCACCACAAAGAAGGTTGATACCCATCCATGGTTCTCAAAAAATAGTCTCTGTTAGCAATGCCAAGAATGACAAAACTGTGACCAGTCTCTGATGTAAAATGAGGAAAAAGTCAAAATGTTTAATTTTTCCTCAGCTTGTTCAAAACATTGCCATACACTCATATCAGTTCTTTCTTTGATGCTGAAATATTTTTATGAAAGAATGGTAAGAGTAAATAGGTTTTAAAAAAAATCCTTCCTCGTCAACATAAATTTGGCAACTCTGTATCAGTTTCCAAAATTATTTGAAATTTTACTTATCTGTGAAATCTCTAAGACTAGGAACCACTATCAAACCAGCATTAGCATCACAAAGACACAGAACCTTTTTTTTTCCTTTTGTTTTTTAAAACACAGACAGCATTTCACTATACTGCCCAGGCTGGTCTGGAACTCCAGGACTCAAGCAATCCTCCTACCTCAGCCTCCCAAAGTGTTGGGATTACAGACATGAGCCACTGTGCTCAGCCACAGAAATGTTTTAACAAGTTTGTCACCAGAACACAAGCACCATAAGCTTCACAATATAGCCTTTAGACACATATATTCATGATCTACAGACATGTATATTCATAATCTACAAATGAGACCTGATAATAGAACTACTGGGTATTAGATATACTGAAGGTTAAACATGAATAACATTACCACTGACATCTCCCTGAAGATATCTGAATCCAGTAAAGGCTGTTGGCCATTGATACCTGAGGATCCAGAGGGGTTTTTTTGTTTTGTTTTTTTCAGAGATAGGGTCTATCTCTATCACCCAGACTGGAGTGCAGTGGCAGGATCAGCACTCACTGCAGCCTGAAGCTCCAGGGCTCAGGCAATTCTCCTGACTTAGTAACAGCAGCTGGGACTATAGGCGAATACTACCACACCCAACTAATTTATTATTTTTTTTAAGAGCTGGGTCTCACTGTGTTGCCCAGGCTGATCTTGACCTCCTGGCCTCAAGTCATCCTCTTGCCTCAGCCTCCCAAATTGCTGGGCTCATAGGGGTGAGTCACCATACTTGGTCAGATTGTTACTATTTTTTAAATTGGATTCCACTAAAAAAACTACAGTCAGAAAACTAGCAAGTCATTATTTCAGAAAACTGGTCTTAACCTAGACACAGTAATTTTGTGCAAATTTTTGGTTGGAATCATGACAGTATCTTGAAGTTTAAATGTAAATACACATATATTCTCCTTGACTTTCATTGGCAGCTTAGAAACAAATATTTTGGAACTGGAAAAAACTCCTCCTTGCAAGTGCTCTCAGAAAATTAATTTTCCTAAGGGGCCAGGCTCAGTGGCTCATGCCTATAATCCCAGCACTTTGAGAGGCTAAGGTGGGAGGATCACTTCAGCCCAGGAGTTTGAGACCAGCTTGGGCAACATAGCAAGACCCTGTGTCTACAAAAAATAATAAAAAAAAATATTAGCCAGGCATGATGGTGTGTGCCTATAGTCCCAGCTGCTCAGGGGGCTTAGGTGGGAAGATCACTTGAGTCCTGGAGGTCAAGGCTGCCATAGCCTTGATCATGCCACTGCACTCCAGCCTGGGTGACAGAGTGAAACCCCTATCTCAAAAACTAATAAAAATATTTTTTTCTAAGGCTTCCCAATAACTTCGGTAACACAGATCCATGTTTTCCTGCATTCTCTCTTGTACTCCCAGTTATCAGTGTCTGGCATGAAATGACAATGCTAATGCTCAGAAAAATCTCTTAAAATTAATATGCACACCCACTTTTATACAGCACAAATTCTGACTCTGTTAAACTATCCTTCCATTATCAACTCTGGTATTCATTTCTAGGGCACAGTATAGCACAAGAATCCTAGTTGCAGTAGGAAATTGATCTTTACTTAGCAAATATTTACTGAGCTCCTAAATAGTACCAGCAACTCTTCCAGGCACTGGGAATTCAAGTATGAACGAGACCAACAAATACCTTGCACTCAAAAGAGTTTATAACGTGAGAAGAGGGGGAAAAAAAAACACATTTAAAAGGTGTCTGGCAGTGTTAAGGGACCTGCGGAAAACTAGACAGTAAAACGATAAAGTGTGTGTGCGTCTGTGGAGGGCGTGCCTTGAGGTGCAGTGTCAAGAAAGAACTCTAACACGATAGGTGATCTTAGGGCTGAATTTCTCTAGACATTCTCTGTATCCAAATAACTTCTAATTTTTATCAGAGTAGACTGGACTAACGCCGAAGGCAGGGCGTGGTGAACCAGCCGCCCTACCTGCAATGTGCGGCCTGGTGGGATACTGTTCTAGAAGCAGCTTGGGCTTTTCGAATTCATCCACTTGTTGCAGGCGACTCTCTAGTTCCTTAAGCCTTAATTTCTTCATTTTGTTTTAAAGTCTGGGCTCGCAGGTTTCGAAGGCACAGGACCTGCGGAGAAATCTATTGAACTGGGATGTTTCCTCCCTACCCCCAACATTCTCCCCTCTTTCAGCACCGCTGGCCAGACCCAAAGATGCGCTCTAAGGAGACGCCGCGATGCTGGGCACAGGACGAGCCGCGGACCCACCTCCTGGGTAACCCATGCAGTCCCAGGAGACTGCGGAAGCGCCTGGCTGAAGCCCCAGAATACCTCGCGCCAGGGACCTCTGGAAGCGACCCGCGCTTCGGCCGGGGCCGGAAGCGCCAGCTCGTACCCGCGCACGCGTTCGCCGCCCAGCGGCCTGGCGCCGAGCGGCAACGTCTGTCCTGCGCCGGGGTTCAGCTGGCCACCTGGGGGCCTCATCGCCCCATCGGCGCCACCTGCAAAGCCTTTGCTACTCGCAGATCCACGGCCAGCCCTCGCCATCTGTCGAGTGATCACTAATTACCCCCTAGTTTGCCCTGAGTACCTGCGGGCCCTCAAAGGATGGGGAAAGGTAGAGAGTGAAGGGGAAGCGGGAGAGAAAGTCACAGTCACTTTGTTGTCTGGCCCAGAGTGACTCTTTTTGTTTCCCAAGTTTCGGCTCGGAAAGTAGCGGTTTCCATTCACCTTTACTTCCTTCGCCATTCTCATGCCTCACTTTATTGTAACTTTGTTTCCCAATTTTTAGGTCATTTTTGTCACTTGGAATTCTCACAGGAATGGTGATATCAGAGAAACCCAAAGAAGAGAGAGTGGAAATGAAAGAATAGATAGTGGTGTCAAATACTGCAAAGAGGTCGGGCTTCATAAAGTAGGAGTAGAAATCAAGTTGTGGCTGATCGTGGAGCGAATGGAAGTTTAGGTATAAGAAATAGTGACGCCAGGCGCGGTGGTTCACCCCTGTAATCCCAGCACTTTAGGAGGCCGAGGTGGGCGGATCACGAGGTCAGGAGATAGAGACTATCCTGGCAAACATGGTGAAACCCTGACTCTACTAAAAATACAAAAATTAGCTGGGCATGGTGGCACGTGCCTGTAATCCCAGCTACGTGGGAGACTCAGGCAGGAGAATTCCTTGAGCCAGCGAGTCGGAGGTTGCAGTGAGCCGATATCGCACCACTGCACTCCAGCCTGGGGACAAAAAAAAAAAAAAAAAAGGCAAGAAAGAAAGAGAAATGTGGCCTACGAAAAGAAGAGAATGGTTGATAGTAAGGTTGGGGGAAGCCTAATTATTTTTTCGAAATATTTTAAGATAGGAGGAGAGAAATTCTGAAACAATTGAGCTAATAGAAAGAGGTTTAAAATACAAGAGGATATTGGATGGAGTTGGGAAGAAGGCAGGGTCCAATGCTTAAGCAAAAGGATTATCTTTAAGCCTGTGGATGGACACCTCTGCATTATTAAAGGAAAACGAAAAAGAGTGAATGGATTATGATGAAGTAGAAAATTGTCTGAGGCTGCTACTTCCTAGGAATAGTAGAATTCAAAGTTACCTGTTAGAATCAAATGAGTTAAAACACAGTTTTTAGCACATAAAGTTAAGACATGAAGTTTTTTGGTTTATAATTCAGTGATTCATAAAGAAAATTATTGAGCAAATTTAACTTATCCCTGTTATGATTGTGAAGTACTTAACTAATGTAGAAAACCGGGCGCGGTGGCTCAAGCCTGTAATCCCAGCACTTTGGGAGGCCGAGGTGGGTGGATCACGAGGTCAAGAAATCGAGACCATCCTGATCAACATGGTGAAACCCCGTCTCTACTAAAAATACAAAAAATTAGCTGGGCATGGTGGTGCGTGCCTGTAATCCCAGCTACTTGGGAGGCTGAGACAGGAGAATTGCTTGAACCCAGGAGGCGGAGGTTGTGGTGAGCCGAGATCGTGCCATTGCACTCCAGCCTGGGAAACAAGAGCGAAACTCCGTATCAAAAAAAAAAAAAGAAAGAAAAAGAAAACCAGGACGGTAAAATGACATGTTTTATGTTTCATTCATTTCAAACACAAGGTTACGGATTGGAAACACCCCTGTGCTTTTTTTGAGATGGAGTCTCACTCTGTCGCCCAGGCTGGAGTGTAATGGTGTGATCTCGTTTCACTGCAACCTCCACCTCCTGGGTTCAAGCGATTCTCCTGCCTCAGCATCCTGAGTAGCTGGGACTACAGGCGAGCGACACCACGCCCGGCTAACTTTTGTATTTTTAGGAGAGATGGGTTTTACCATGTCGGCAGGCTGATCTCGAATTCCTGACCTCAAATAATCCACCCGCTCCGGCCTCCCAAAGTGCTGGGATTACAAGCGTAAACCACGGCGCCCGGCCTTCTGTTCTTCTTTGTACTGCTCTTCCTACAATTTTTTTTTCCTTAAGTTGGGGTCTCACTCTGTCGCCCGGGCTGGACTTTGATGATAGTGGGAATGCACATCTCAAAACAAAATGCAGATGCCTAAAATACATCTGAAAGATACTGTGAATAATTCCTGTAGTCTACACAAGTAAAGAAATACTTGCCTTTATTAATGATTTCCTATGAGTATTTCAGTAGCTCTTAACTTGGAAAGCTGGGAGCCTAGGAGGCGCCCAGGCCAGAAGGGCGGGGAGAAGAAGGCTTTGCAGTCCGAGGGGGCGTGTGCAGGGGCGGGGCCGAGGGCGGAGGAGGGCGGCCGCTCCGGGTATCGCGAGAGTTCGGCGGGCCGAGCAATCGCAGCAGTCTATACCCCGACTCTCCCCGGAGGAGCCACCGGCCCTGGACTCTCCAAATTCTGAGCTCTCATCATGGCGGCGGCGGCCGCGGCTGCCGTCGGTGGCCAACAGCCGTCTCAGTCCGAGCTGGCCGCGTCGGGACTGGCCCTAGACAAGGCGGCCACCGCCGCGCACCTCAAGGCGGCCCTCAGCCGGCCAGACAACCGCGCAGGTGCTGAGGAGCTGCAGGCGCTGCTGGAGCGAGTGCTCAGCGCCGAGCGGCCGCTGGCCGCTGCTGCGGGAGGCGAGGACGCGGCGGCGGCCGGAGGCGGGGGTGGTCCGGGGGCGGCCGAAGAGGAGGCCTTGGAGTGGTGTAAGTGCCTTCTGGCAGGTGGCGGCGGTTACGACGAGTTCTGCGCGGCGGTGCGGGCCTACGATCCCGCGGCGCTCTGCGGCCTGGTCTGGACAGCCAACTTCGTGGCCTACCGCTGCCGGACGTGCGGCATCTCGCCCTGCATGTCGCTGTGCGCCGAGTGCTTCCACCAGGGCGACCACACCGGACACGACTTCAACATGTTCCGCAGCCAGGCCGGGGGCGCCTGCGACTGCGGGGACAGCAACGTGATGCGGGAGAGCGGGTGAGTGGAGCCCTCCCTACGGGCGAGGCGACCCTGGGCCGGGGGCGTCGCGGGAGGCCCTGGAGCGGGGCACTGGGAGCCCACTCTGAGCTGTCAAGGGGAGGGTGCGGGGGAGGGTGCAGCCACAGGGGGTTGGAGGTGACTGAGCTGTCAGCGGTGGAAAGGGGGTGCGGAGGAGAGGAGAGCGGAGAGCAGAGCTTGTTTAGGAAACCCGGCTGTGAATTTTGGGGAAGCCAGGGTGGGTAAATGATAACGAGGAAAGAGCCAGTGTGTGGGGTGGGAGGGGAGTGAGGGGGAAAGGATTTTGGGGGAAGCTCGTGTCGAGCTGTCAATTGTGTACTTGTTGGAAAAGGCTGTAAAGCCTGGTTCTTGGGAAGAGACTTAGGTTGTGATTTGGATTGGCTGGGAGGAGGGTGTTATTGGGGACCGTATTGGCTCGCGGGATGATGAGAGCTGGGGAGGTGGTCTTGTACGTACGTGCAGGGAAGGACTGTTGAGGAAAAGGGCTTCCGAACTGCCAGTGTGTCTGTCAGTGTGAGAGAGAAGGAGCTCTTGAGGGTTGAGGGAGGAGGGAAGGGGAGGAGCTTGCATGAAAAGTGACTGTTGAGCTGTCAGTGGAGTATTTGGTATGCTGGAATGACATTTAGAATTGGGATACTGAGCAGTCAGTTACAGAATACCCTCCATACCAGGAGAGCAAACAAAATACTGAGCGAATTAGGAATCAAATGTTAGGTCTTCTCCAGTTAAGGGTAGTTTGTTCACTCACTGATATATGAATATCTGTCTAAGAGGAGACAATAAATGTCCTTTTGACAGGAGCAATACACCAGATGTTGGGACTTATGAGAAAATACAACATTTCAGAGTTTGCAGTGAGTTACAGAGAGTTGGTACATGTAGGGTCTTGGCTTGGAACATGATGTCAGTGTCAGGGACAGTATGAGAAAAAAGGAAAAAGTAAAAGAGGGGCGATTTTGGCTGGGCAGTATTCGAAAGAACATTAGCAACTACTAGTTGCTACCAGTTATTAAACTTGTTCAGTTTTCAGGTTTTACAATTAATGTAGAGTATAATCTTTTTATAAATGGTCCCTTCTTCGGAGTACTTGTAAGATTACTGTTACTCCAAAATGTTTGTACCTACTATGTGCAAGCAAGGCTACTTGAATATTAAAAATGAATGAAAGATTGACCAATCCCTTACTCTACTTGAAATGGAGTAGAAAATAATACATTCCTTAAACAGTAACCTGGTAGTTAGAGGCAGGAGAGGAGGTTTCTGTGCAGACAGAGTAAGAAAAGATCTTCAGAAAGGAGGTGTTTTTGAACTTGCTAATGATAATAACATAATTGCAGCTAACATTTGAGTTCTAGAACTGTATCTCTGACAGTTTAAAAGTACTTTTTAAAATTTAATATTTGGATAGGTAAAGTATATCGCTAAAAACACACACACACACACACACACACACACACACACGGAAATTTTTCTCTCATCTAGTCTTCTACCTGTGCAGTTCCTTCTTGCTTAGTTTCTCTTACTGCAGAACAAGCAAGTATGTTTCTTAGTTTTTCAGTCTCCTTTTGTGCAAAGGGTTACATACTGTCCACTGTTCTACATTTTGCATTTTTTAGTTATCTTAGATGTATTTCTAATCAATAAATCAGTGTTCTCATTCTGTTTTTTTTTTTTAAAAACCTCTGCATAGTGTTCCGAATTTGCCATTCCTTTTTAAATTTCATTTTTTATTTTTTGTGAATTTGCCATTCTTGATTTAATATCTCTTCATGGGCATTTGACTTTCTAGTATAAAATCAAAAATGTAGTATATATCTGTCTTTTCCCACCTCTGCAAGAATGTCAGTGGGATAAATTCTCAAAAGTGGGATTTCCCAATTTCTCTGCCTAAGGCTTAGTACTAATTATTGTATGAGACTACCTGTTTTCCAAAAACCTCATCAACAGAGTAGTATTAAAATTTTGGACTTTTATCTGTTTGGTTAAAAGTGGCCACATTATAGCTGTTATAAGTGATTTAACTTATTTATTCTTTGATTTGAGATTGTTACTTTTATTCTCATTGTACAGAAGAGGAAATTAGGGCTGTTAAAAAACTTGCTCAGGATCGCACAGGTAGTAAGCTAGGCTCCAGGGATCAAGAGCTGGACTAGCCAACCATTTCTCTCTACTGCCTCTACTAAATAGCATTCTTATTGGTTCTTCTTTTCAATACTATGTTTGGTCTTTTTTTTTTTTTCTTAATATGCTGTTCTTACGTGGACCTTTGTTTCTTTCTTTTTAAACTTTTTTTGTTTTTTGTTTTAAAGAGGCACATCAGAACAGGAGTTGGAGCAATCCTTTACTGATATTTAGACATTTTTACTTCATGGACTAGGTTAGCATTTAGAAAAGCCTCCTTAAAACAGGAAATAATGTTAGTTCTTTCCTGACTTTTGGAATAGAGTGGTAATTATCAGGTTGTCCTGGATGAGATGCAAGTCTGCTTGCTTGTGATGCTTCAGTGTATTACCAGAAATATGTCGGTGAGTTTCTTTGATATTCCTCCAGTTTTAGGGCATCCAGGCTATAGATAGTCAACTATATTTATCTATATTTATATTTATAGATAGTCAACAGTATTTATCTATGAGACATCAGTAAAAGCAAAAACTCATAGTGTTTGCTTTTACTGATGTCTCATAGATAAATACTGTTTTCTCAGCCTTGGCAACCCTCTATGAGTTGATACATAATATTTAAAGATTTATTATTATCTCTATCTGAAACCAGAGCTATTGCCTATATGTCCCAGCAGTTGCCATATCCAGTTTCATAAAGGGCAAGATTGAACAATAACAGTATTGTGGCCATGTGGTTATTCTGAAACTTTTATAATTGCTTGGGTTGGGTAGTACAACTAAATTACTGCCTCAAGAGACATAGGTGATGTTGACCAGTTCTGCAACCTAAAAGGCTGCTTCTGGAACCTTCTTAGAACTGGAAATCATCAACAGCTTATAACAGTGTTCCTCATGGGCAAAGCTGGACTACCCTGCATGAACAGAATGTTTGAACTTTTCTCAGGTTTTGATATTTTTAAAATGCCTTTATGTTGCCAAAGATTGAATGTATATTGATTTTGGGGTTTTTATTCTAACTGCCATAAAAGTTTGTAAATTTCATGTTTTAGTCACTTTTAGAGGAAGGATTCCTTTCCCCCCCCATATTTGTGCTCTTAGTAAATGAGGAAAATCCTGCTGTGCCATAATCCTTTTCAGAAATGTCTGTTGCCTGTAGGTTGTTCTGTGATTGGAGATGGAGAAGAATCTTGAATCCATCTTAGCTGTATTTATATTTAATTTTCAAATTAGCAATTATAGATCTATGGAGAGGAATTACTCACTTTGAGTAGTATTGATATAATCAATGTGACGGTATTAGCAGATTTACAGACCAAAGAAAGAAAACAATTGAGGATTCATTTGTGGGATGAGATCACAAAGGCTATGTACTAATAACTGTATGTATAACTACAGTTTTGCCACTAGTTGAATAAGTGCAGCCATGTCACAAATGCTTTATGGATGGATGAACTCAAAGTGAAACAAACCGAAATAACCTGTAATGGAAAGTCTCAAATACATTTGTACCTCAGTATATGGTATACACAGGAGACTGGTTCCAGGATACCCACCTTTCACCCACTCTCCAGCGTATACTGAAATCCTGCTATGAAAAAAGTCTGCTTTTCATGTGTGTGGGTTTCAGATCCATGAAGTCTGTATTTTCGATTCACGTTTGATTTAAAAAAAATTCCTTGTAAGTGGACCCTTGGAGTTCAAACCAGTGTTGTTCAAGGGTCAACTGTAATGTCTGACTAGCTGGTTTTGGGCTCCGATGGGGTACTAAACCAGAAACTGGGATTTTAAACATTTAGTTCTCAAATTTTGATGCAGAGAATGATGAGTTTCATGTTCTGTCCTATATTACAGATATTTTTGTCTCCTTGCTTGTTCTTCCTCACGTATTCTAAGCTCCTTAAAAGATAAGGACCTCATTTTGCTAGTAACCAGATGCCAGCACAGTCTCTTATACTTAGTAGGTGTCAGTAATATTGGATAAAAATAGTGACTGCTATACCTGAAAAGTTGCTGTAAGATTACATGGCTTTAGTTATTCATGAGATGGCATTGATTATTAAATCCATAGCAGCTTTTTTCAGAGTGCTTTCATTCTTTTTTAATTTCAGAAGTAATACACATTGATTATAACATAAAAATAAGTGGATAAAGTAAAAAGTAAAGGTGCCTTTCTCCATCCTATCCCTCAGTAAGAGATTTCCCTTACTTTCTTTTGAGCTTAGTTATGTATTTAAAAGAGATTAGTTATAATATATCCAGCATCTTTAGTTTTCTATATTTTCCTTTTTTAAGAAACAGGGTCTTGCAGTGACTCCCAGGCTGGAGTGCAGTGGTGTGATACCACAGCTCACTGCAGCCTCAACTTCTCAGGCTCAAGTGACCTCCCACCTCAGCCTCCCAAGTAGCTGCGACTACAGGCACACACCACCACACCCAGCTGAAATTTTTTTTTCTATTTTTTGTAGAGATGATATATGACCATATTGGCCAGGCTGGTCTTGTACTCCTGGCAAGTGGTCCACTTGCCTCATCCTCCCAAAGGGCTGGGATTATAGTTGTGAGCCACAGTATGGTGCCTGGCCTGTGCTGTGGGAGGTTTTTAGGTTTTTTGATCTGTGGTAGCCAGAAATGGAACCATGTAAATGTCTGGTTAAATAGAGTTACTCGCTTCAGTACCTTGCTCTTTTTCCCTTATCATATTTATGGACACTATCTCAAAAGTAGGATTGCTTCATTTTTAAAGTTAAATAGTATTTCATTGTATTTCCATGTTTTTGTAATGTGCTATGATTTTTGCAGTCAGTTCCCTACTGATAGACATTTCCAGATTTGAGCTGTTGTAAACATTGTTGCAGT